GGAGTCGGGAGGCGGCGGCGGAGGGAACCGCTGCGGAACCGAGGAGTCGCGCGCTTGCGGGGGCGGCCGCAGCCCGAGAGAGGTGGCGGGGACTTCGGCCTCCAGCCCCGCGGACTCCGGGGAGAGCGGCGCCTGCCCCGATGGGCAGCCCGGGCCCGGGGAGGCGGACCACTGCCGCCGGATCCTGGTGCGAGGTAAGGGACTGCCTGCTGCTCGGACCCCCGGGACCCGCGCGTCTTTTGGGGGCCTACGACCTCCCTGTTCCTGTCTCCGTGCTCATCTTTTCCGAGAGCCTATTGTGTGCTGGACACCGAGCTGGGTTCAGTGGACAAAGCAGCGACCAGAACTGGGAGGTCCTGGTCACCCTACCCCTCGGTCTCCAGCCTCTCTGCCCCGGGCCCTCGCCCGAGACCTGCCTGGAGGCGGACCGGGTCGCAGGGACCGGGTCCAGAGCTCGGGAGGAAAAGGCCTCAGCGCCGCCTCTCCGCGCTCTCCGAAGCCGGGATCCGGCTGGTCCGTCCGCAGGGGACTCAGGGTCCCCCGGAGCGTTGTGCGCGTCGGCCTGGGTTACATGCTCCGCTCCTCTGCGTCCTGACACTTTCTGGGCACCTCAGGTGCGGCCTTCTCCCAACTCGGCCTTCTGCGTCTCTAGCGCACTCCTCATCATCCATGCGCCCCTCGCCGGGCTCCCTCTGTCCCGGCCTTTGCTCTCTGCCGAACCCTGCTCATCAAACTCCCTCCCGCCGGCCCCAAGATCTGGACCGCGTCCGAGTTCCAGTTCTGCTGCTTTCGCGTGCGCGGAGGGGTGGTCGAAGCCCCCAGGTTCCAGCCCCAGCGGATCGGAGCTCTAGCCGGATCCAGGCCACGCCAGGCACTTAGGGCGAAAAGAGGCTCCCGAGAGACCTGCTCCAGCTGGCCTCCAGGCTGCAGCCAGAACTGGAGAACTGCTTCTCCCACTCTCTGTCGTCCCAGTGACCAGAAGAGGCCACTCATGGGGGATGCCTCGCCAGGCCTTTCTCCCTGACTCCCCGCCCGGCTCCCTCCCGCTGTCTTTTCTGGATTTCTGCTTCTAGATGAGAGAACAGGGGACACCTCCCAGTCACAGCTGATTTCCTTGGCCTGCACATGAGGAAGGCAAGAAGCCTGTGTAAAGTGCCCACAGGCGACTTGGTGGCCTTTTCAGACCCTTATATGTCTGTTTAGAGTTGGCTGCTCAGATGCACACTGGAGTGTTTGCCCTGCTGGGTGCTGTACTCCCATACCCATCCCTACAGCCTTGGGGACAAGATGGGATAAAGCGTAGGCTAGCCCAGCCAGGCACAGCTGAGGGAGGCTGGGAACACAAATGCAGGAACCCAGGCCCTGGGAGGGGAGGGGGGAAATGCCGTCAGGTGTGGACACTCCAAGAGATGGGGTCAAGGTAGTTAGAGGTCACTCATGGTCAGCAAGGAGTGTGTGGACCTGTCAGGCCCCTGGGATTAAACTAGGTGGGGCTGTTTAGACTGTGCCCTTCCTGTGAACAAGCCCTGAATGAGAAGCCGGCTCTCTGCTCAGTTATGAAATCTCCAGGGTTTATGGAGAGGTAGCAGTCCATCTCTGCCCAGCGCCCGTTCTGCTAGGGTAGATACCACCACCTTAACAGCCTGGCGATGGGTGTGCCTTTGCACAGACAGCTGCACGTTCTGTGCCCCACAACCACCAGCTCCCAACTCTCATCTAACCCTGTGCATGCAACAAATAATTTTTGTGTATTGATATCAGTTAGATAGCTTCCAGTTATAGACACATGCAGAAGTGGGAGCTAACAGTGACCCTGCAGCTCTGCGTGGTGGGGGTTTCCTGAGCAGGGCTGACTGTAATCTGTGTGGCCAGGCCGCGTCCTTTTATAAAGGCGTGTGGACAATGCAGCGCCGCTGGTACATTTATACTGTACACTGAAATCGAAAGTGTTGAGCGCGCATTTGCTCACCTAACGGGGAGAGGAAAGTAAAGATGAACCAAGCGGTCCTAAATCCTTCTGCACTTTCCCATTTAGGGCGGCGCACAGATCATTACAGGCCTGAGATGCTCAGTAGAGCACTTATAGCTAATCCCTCCTAGGGTCATCTGCATCATGGGAGCCCCACCAAGGCTCTGGGTGGAGGCTCCGGACAGTAAGAAACAGGCCACGCGCCAGGACACCACCAAGTGAAAACCCAAGAAGGTTTCCTTCCAAGAGGCCCAAAGCTGGTGGTTTATTTTGCCCCTGACTTCAGAGGTCACGCTGTCCTCCAACACCTAGGAGGACGCTGTTGGAGGGGACGAGCTCCCCTCCCACGAGGCCTCACCGCGCTGGGCCCCACCCCGGGGCACCCCGTCTGTGGGAGGAGCCTCATAGCGGACAAGCGGGCGCAGAGCCTGGGCGCTGGAGTTTAGGGCTTCTGGGATCCTCTCGCAGGTGGATATCTCTGAGAAGCTGTTTCTTTGTTTCTCTGCGTCCCCAAGACCCTCACGGTGCAAAGGGACCTTATCTGGAAAGACCAGAGGTGTCTCTGAAGCTGAGAACACCCGCGAGAGCTCTCTGACCCAGGTGCAGGGCAGCGCGGGCCGAAGTGACCTACAAAACCACTTCTGGCTGGTGGGGCGGCCTCCTTCCCCAGCCACGTCCCTCTGCCCGCTCTGTGGTCTCCCCAGCGCCCCGGATCTGGGTGCTGTTGGGACGTGAGCAGCCAGCAGTGGTGAGAAAGGCCAGCCCTTCCCGGTGGACCAGGTCCAAGTGGCAGGCCACCCGAGATCCTGAGCGCCTCGGCGGAATAAGGTCCAGGGCGACCAACCTCGCCGCGTCGCCCTCTTGAAAATAGAGGCTGTTCCCGGTCCACACCGCCAGATCCTCAGCGTGCGCACGATGGGGGTGCGACCCGCTTCCCATCGCGACCACAAAGCTCGTGAGACCCACCAGAATCTTCGCCCTCGCGGCCCGCTTAGCGGCGACCATGCAGAGGCGGCCTCTCGGGAGGAGGCAACCGCGAAGGCTAGGCCTCTCCAGGCCTCTGGGCGCCAGAAAGGCCCCGCGCACAGCCAGCCCGCTCCCGGGCCTGTTCGGTGGAGCCAGGATGTCAGAAGAGGGGTGCTAACTTGCACCCTAAATTCCCCACAACCCACACTCGCACTCCACCTCCCCCCACTCAGACTGACCCACGAATTAATCCAGATACAAATTCAGCAATCGGTTTTGAGAAAGCCGCACAGCCCAGCAGTGTTTACGCGCAACGCATAGGCCCCTTCCCTGCTCTCCAGACCCCGGCGCCCAGCCTGCCGGTGTCACAGGCCGCACTTTCTGTCCCCACCTCGGTGTCAGAGGCACAACCTGCCTCCAGGCGCGCTCCAGTCTCGAGACCCCTCACACTAGCCGGGGCTCCTCTCCTCTCCGACTGGGAGTGGGAGAGTGGGTGATGCAGCCTGCAACAGTTACTGGAAGTTCAGAGAGGTGGTGTTGGGGAACCGGGTCTTGCCAATGACCAGACCTCCAGCTTCGGCTGGGTTACTCCCTGGAGTAGATGTGTGGAGGGTAGTGGGGCTCCAGTCCCTCTGAGACCTGGTGGGCAGCTGGACCCGTGCTCCAACTACATCTCATCTGCACACGCGTACATGTGGCAGGCACAGTGACCAGCTTAGCTTGTGCCTCACGCTGTTGGTGCAGGCCAGAGCGGCCTGGGGCTGGAGGCTCAGGCTGGGGGTAGCCTGCGAGGACTGCTCTCGCCCCCTCCACTCCCCAGAGAGTTGGCCCAGTCGCAGCGCCCTCCACCCGTCTTCTCCTGGAGACCTCAGCGGCAGCTGGACCTGCGAAAGCTCAGTCTGGGCCTTGTAGGCCTCGCGGCGGATCCCTGCAACCCCACATGCGCGCACCCACGGGGAGTAGTGTTGGAACGAGCATGGGTTTGGGAGTGGACTGGGCCAGTCCGCGTGACCTTGGCTTCTGTGTCTGAGTCTGCCAATAAGAAGGCCTGCAGGCTGGTCGCACTGGAAAGGTGTACACACCTGGAAGAGAGGGATTTCTTTGAAAAGAAAAAAAAGTATATGAAAATGTAAATATATATATATATATTCATATTCTGCATAGGTATTTAGATATTTGTTAGGGCGGTAGGTATTTTTAGATTTTCCTGGAACTGTTGTTTTTGACAGCAGAACCCACTTTTCCTCCAAGGATCCATATAGAACTCTTTAATTGAGGGTTTTATATTTTCCTTGAATGTCCTCACACATACACTTACATGTACACATGCGTGCACGCTCGTAACCTAGTAACGAAATGTGCCCCCCGCGTCGACTTGTTAGTGTGCCTATGTGGAGGACTGTTTTCATTTTCAGGGCCCCACGGCACACTGCTCCTTCCGTTTTTAGTCCGTTCGCACCATCATGGCTGCGTGGCCCCTTGGGTCTGGATTCCACCATCCTGTGGACACATGCCATGCGCTCACCTCACTCCCTCTGCCTCTCTCTTCTGACTCTGGACCCCAGTGACTCCTCCGTTAGAGAGTCTCCCAGGCCAGGTCCCTAGGCCTGGGGAGAACTGGGTGGAGGACACTGATGGGTCCAGGTGCCCGTCTACATGGGCACTTCTGTCTAAGTACTTTGTTTATAATCTGTAGGGGTTGCAACTACGGGTGGGCTACAACGACTGTGGGGCCTTAATTTGTCTCAGATCTGAGGCCATAATCCAAACCTCTCTCTTCCCTAAATGTCACATTCATAATCTATTTTAAAAGAGCAGAGGTGGGGGTGGGGAGGATGTAGGTATATGAATTTGAATTTTGCTTTTTTTTGTTGGATAGGTAGTACAATAATCCACTCAACTCAGATGGTATAGTAGGAGGTTATAAGGAATGGGAGAGAGTCATAAGGTTGTATGTGACCTGCCCGTGTTCGTTGCCAGCCTGAGAAGCTGACATCAAGCCTTCCTGGGGATTCCCTGGGCTCAAGGTGGTCTAGGCCTCTGGTTCCCACTGTCTTCCCCCCAAACCCCAGCCATGCCTTCTGGGTGCGGTCCTGGTTCTGGGGAGCTGGGGATCATGGGCAGCAAGCTTCCGGGCGTCCCCACTGCCTGTGAGCTGTGGGGACCACTGAGTGGCATCAGGCGCTGGGGAGGAGGTGGTGGCGCCTTGCGCAGATCTGGCCTTCTCTGTGGAGAGATGACAGGGGCCTCTGCGTGTCC